GAAGCACCACTCCTTACATATATCCATATAACAGAGGAATAAAAAAAAATTAAAAATCTCCTTTCCCTAAGAAAGAGGAATCACTGAAGGAGCAGGGCCAGGCTGGCAGAAAGAAGCGTTTGCCCAGTCATTTAGAGAACAGACTTGCTGCTAAACGTTCCATCGCAAGTCTTGGCTGATGTACAAGAAGACCACTCGAAGGGCAAGGAAAACATAAGAAGCACATTGGAATGCTTTGCTTCAGGAAGTTTAATTTTGATTAAGTTATTACAGCCAAAATCTCTCCAAGCAAACTTCGGGGGTTTTCACACACCACCATCTTTATAAAAGCAGCATTCATCGGAATTTAACTATTGTCCTATGCAAACTCAGTCTTTTTGGATCAATATGATTTCTTCTCCCTTTGCTCTTGATTTCCTACGTTTATAAATCCAATATCAGGTCATGCTAATATGAAATAAGAATGCTGGAAAATAATGTTCACAGTGACATTTTTATTCCAGAGCTCACTTACACTGGCAGAACTGTAAAACCAATTGTGGAAACTCTCTACGGCAACATGCTTCCAACTCTCCCACCTCTGCCATGGTTTTCTCTCTTCTCAAATGTCAGTTCCTGTCTAGCCCGCAGCAAAGTATTCTAAACAGATCCTACGTTTTTCAGTCAAGAGCTGCAGTAAAAAAAATCTGCCAAGTCGGGGAGCTCTCAAACCCATTATCTCCCAGTTCCCCCCCTGCTCAGACACTGGCGCAGAACTGCGAAAGGAGAGAAAGCCTCTTGCATGACTGGCTGCTCATCTGATCAGGGTTCAGGCAAAGGGCCTGTGAAGGGAAATAGTCTTGCTAGCATAAATAGTTTTATTTTGGGACCTGTAAGGAAGCTTTAGTGCTTTTTCCTGGTGGATAATTTCTCCATCAGATGGACGGGAGCTCATGAAGGTGGCCGGTCTAGCATAGAGATGTGCAGCCATTTAGGACAGTAATTGACCATGAGCGATACGTAAGCAAGAAAGAAAAAGCTAAGTAATTTAATTAGAAGCTATTTGGAAAAAAAAAGTTTAAAGATTGCAAATATTCCTATAACGCTTACTTACTTCTACTGTGCCATAAAGGAATGTGTACAGACCATCGCTGCTGGTCTTGGCTAAATGAGCAAAGAATGGGGCAAAACTCACACCCAAGGGCATACAGCTCTCACGCACACCAGGAACCCTAAAGGTTTTTCCCCGCAGGTTTGCACAAGTGGACCTGACTTTCAGTAAAGACACCAGAAGTGCTAATCATCCATTACTTCGCTAAGCTAGAGATAATACCTGTAAACCTGCAGTGGGAAAGCACCAGTCACAATTCAATAACTGGAAATTAAGCTGCAAGACATGTCATGGCGTCAGGGTTACTCGATGTAACCGGTGTTCCTGAACACAGCTCCTTCTGCCCAGAGAGCCTCAAACAAATAATGCAAGATAGTGTAAAGTGGACTGTCCCTTAGAGGTACCTGTAAGTGGTCACTGGCACAAACACAGCTTAAGGTTCAAAGTTCTTCCTGCTTAAGGTTCTATGATTTGCTTTAATTTATTTAATGCTTTTTGGATTTCCTGCGAAAGTGTATGTGAACTGGAAGAGAGCTCTGAAAGGAAAACTGAAAAGGAAAACTGATCACACAAAGTTTTGTCATGTGCCAGACTCATCAGTGAGTCTCTCAATTTGTACCTCAATACTCCCTTCCTGTGAGTTTTAAACCAGAAGAAAAAGAAACAGGTCCACAACTTGGCTGGAGCAGGTGCAAGCAATCTCCCTTTCTCTCAATTTCCTACCTTTATGAGAAAATTGGTATCTATCATCCTTTGAAAAAATGGCCTGCAACCTGTGGGAGAGCAAAGCACTATCAGTGTTTATCCATATTATAAGACTTAAAGATGGTGTAGAGATACACATTCTCTATAAGCATATTACAGCTAGCACACTCTGCTCCCAAAGCTCTGAAATGCAAAACAAAACACAGGAGAAAAGAAGATTTATCATCTTGGTTCCACAGATGGGGAACTGAGCCATCTCAGAGGAGAGTATAAAAAACCTGATGTATTCCAAAATAAAGGATCTGGTCTCCTCCTTTCTCCTCTACCATGTGCCTCAGGACAAACTGAACTTGGAGAATTACACTGGAAAACTGTTTTGTTTCCCAGCTCTGCTGCAATTTTGTATGCTGTCACTGCTTACAATACAGAAATAAAGTCATACAAGACCCAGATAACACCAAACACCAAAGTCATGAGAATTCAAAAGCAATTCAAGGAACATCACAGAAAAGGAAGAGCATAAGTAACTGTGGCTTTGTGGACAAAAGTATTGTTCTGTGAATGCTGAAAAAACATGAGCAAACTTCAGTGAGGATTTTGAATGCACAAGGAGAGAACATTTCCACTTTCACCTGGTGATGAGCCAAGCATATGAATATACAGAGAAATTAACTCCTTCAAAGACAGATGATTGGCTGTCAACACTGCAAGGGTGTAGATAATATCTGCCTGCCTTCAAGAGACCAGGATTTTAAAAGGCATGCATAATCTGATACAAGGTGTGTCACCCAACAGTGATTACTGAAAAAAAAAAGAAGATTTAAGCTTAATTTGTCAAAAGCAGAACTTCACAATTTTTCTACCTCAACCATAACTCAATATTTTTTTGAACAGAGGTTGAGAAGCAACTTTCAACCCTGTATACTTTGAAATAATGCTAGATGACCATCTCTGTCTTGGGATCCCATCTCCAACTCAGCTAACAGTAAAGTGGCCTCCTAAGTGAACCTGCAGACTCACCTTGGGAGGGCTAGTGGACAATTATTGTACAGATAGTGATTTCTGCAACTCAGTTAAGTCAATGTGCTCCATGTGGCCACATTTTTCCCATACGAAACTTATTGATTTATAACGAAGCTTGAACCGTTAAATAACCACTAGACTTACTGACAAAATCAAGGAGTTACTAACCGCTGTCCTTACAAGTGACTCAACAGCCTAAAACCCATCCAGAGTACGTTAGACTTTTTTCACAGTGAAGGCTACTGCAGAGTGGCAGAAGAGCAGGAAAGAGCTAGTCCTCCTGTAAGAACCTATTTCCTCCACATATATCCTTAGGAAGAGATGCCTCACTTCAAACCCTCTCTGGTTCATGCCACCTGTGGCACAGGGATACTTCAGGAGGAGAAGGTGTAGCAAGTGAGTTACAAACCACCTTCTAGATAGATACAAGAGAGCTGAGGATTCCAGATGTCTCCTCAATTAATGCTCATTCATTGCTTGTTTTATTAGGAGGGGGGCTCAGCCTTCACATTATTGACTCTCAGAATAGTAAGAGTGTCACACCTACTTTAGTGATTCATTTTTTTTTCTCCTATTTATATTTCATTTCCCTCCTCTATTTTTTTAATCTGTATATAATTTGTGTGTTTTCCATCTTCACTGCATTACTAGTACTCTTTTTAGAAAGAAACTCGATACAACGCGTACTCAGGATGTGCTCTTTCATGGAGAATCAAGGACCAGAGCCAGGTGTCACATCATTTTAGAGCATCGCCATGCATCTGTGGGAACATCATTTGCAAGCAGCATGGCTAACTGAGAAAACAGCATGGAGCCACTGGGACTTACTCGCTCTTGACTTGTCCTTGACCATGAACTTAGGAAGATGGTATCTAGAGATCATCTGGCTGTTTATGGGCTTTTGTTCTTCCTTCACGAAGGGGCCCTTTTGTCAATGATATTTCTTGTGTTATGGTGGTGGTTAAGGAAGCATGTAGGAGAACAAAGAGAAAACCTTTTTTCGGTTAATGAGGCATATTTGCCTCTTCGTATGTTTGTTGCAATCTAATCACATCTATAAATTACTTCTCTTAAAAAGCTGAAAAGTAGTTTTATTTGAGAGTAAGGACAGGAAAAGAGACTAATATGATAAACAGAGGGCAGAAAAGTAATCGTAGGACTCTACGGGATACGGATTCTGCCCCTGGTTCTAACACGGACCTCCTGCATGACTCCTCTGCCCCATCCCTGGCAGTGTTCAAGGCCAGGCTGGATGGGGCTTTGGGCAACCTGGGCTAGTGGAGGGTGTCCCTGCCCATGGCAGGGGCTGGGACTGGATGGGCTGTGAGGTCCCTTCCAACCCAAACCAGTCTGGGATTGTATCATTCTATGACTAGAAAAGTCACCCCATCTCATCTCTGAAATAACATTATTATTTGTCAGCATTATCTACCAAAAAGAATGTGGAAAATATTTTTTTAAGGTTTTTTTGCAAATCACATCGTGACATCTGGATGGAAATGAGTGTTATTACTCAAATATTACTTACCTTTTAGGGAACCGACTACTGTGTTTAAGGTTAGGAAGGGAATGGTACCTTGCCTTTGGTAGCTTCTGGAGGCATGATATTACTCCTGCCTCATAACACTTTTTTCCAGCATGGAAGAAGTGGGACCCTAAAGTCCCATTTATTTCACCTTCCTTTTTTTACGCTTTTGTACATTTTTTTAATTATTTCTGTAAGATATTTAGCAATTCATCATCTTTGCAGTTTACAATAGTGGACTGCCTTAAATAGACATTTTAAAATTTCAGAGTAAGTGTACCATATTCTGAATAAAAGCATTTCATTATTGTAATCATTAATATACCAGTTTTCTGTTGGCAACGGGAATAAGAAACAGGACATCTGTGTGAGACAAGAGGATGAGGAAAAAAAACCCACAACGTGAAACAGAGCTAAGTGCAAGTAAGAAATTTATATCAGAGTGAACAGATTTAAACCTAATATTGAGACTCCATTCAGGCGCCCAGTCTTTGCATATATCATCATGCCCAAATACGCCTTCATGAACACATACAGCACATCATAAGAGAGACGGAAGGGCTTTACAGACTTGTGAATGTTGGCCTATGGCATCTTGCTGCTACAGAAATTCAAGAGAGTAACACATTAAAAATAATTCTCACATTCTCCCTGCAGGTTTTGTTCTGGTTATCGGATTGGTGACTTTCTACCGCATCGGACCATACACCAACCTCTCTTGGTCTTGCTATCTGAACATTGGAGCCTGTCTTTTGGCCACGCTGGCAGCTGCCATTCTCATATGGAACATCCTTCATAGGCGTGAGGACTGCATGGCACCCCGGGTCATTGTCATTAGCCGTACCCTGACCGCTCGGTTTCGCCGTGGCCTGGAAAACGACTACGTTGAGTCACCGTGCTGAAAGAGTGGACTTGAAAGGGGAAAGATCTCCAAGGGGATCTGCATTGGAGTTGCTTTCTATAAATATATGCTATAATTTAAAACTAAGGGTTGAAAGACATCACAAAGCTCACTCTTGTGGGCAGAGGCCCTCAATTATTATTTGGATGGGCTCCATCTATATACATATGTATAAAACACATAATTTTATATATATTATATTATATTGCCCTCTCCCTCTGCTGTACAGCGCAGAATGTTGGATTGTCAGAATCCTGACAGAGCATCACAGCCACATGTCAGCAGGGTCAGCTGTAGCAGACACAGAGCGTATGCAATGAGAATATAGAAAAGAGGCAGCCAAACACATTTCCTCTGTCTGCATAAGGTTATCTGATCCCTAACAATAATGTAAAAAGCTATGGGAGACCAGTAACAATAGCTTTGGAGTTAACAGGCAATCTGAGAAAGCAGAAAACTCACTATAGATTTAGTGATGATTTTAACAGCTGTTTAAATTTCATGAATCTTTAGATTTTCCATGACCCCTCTTCAAGAAACTTCTTGTTAGCTGCAACACCAGCTCCCCAGCCACAGCATAGCCCAGACAGCAAAAAGCAAAAGCAGCTCTAACCATTCTAATTGTAAAGTAAGGGAATGCAGAAGAATTAAGTTGCATTTTTTCAGACACTTCTTTTGTTACCTGAGACAGAGGTTTGGCTTTTTCCTATACGTAAACAGACATGCCATTAAAAAAGAAAAGGGTACGCAGCTAGAACAGGCCATACACATCGCTGAAAAATCTACTTCAGTGTTACAATGAGGGCAAATACCTACAGAAGTTGTTTACCTGGACTCCCTAATAATCACAGATACTATTAACTTACATTATTGGAAACGATTACGAAGAAGAGACATTTCAGCCCAAATGAATTTCTTTTCTTCCCAGCTTGCTTTAAGATTTGCTGTGACATTTTCAGATTAGAGTGCTATGTCAGGACACCCAGCTCTGCCCAGCAATGCTCAGAGGCACATAATACAGCGAATACTGGAGAAAGTAACTGCCATTCAAGCACCCAAATTGGAGAATAAGACATATATACAGGACTTAAGCACGAGATTTAAAAAAGACCTGCCTGGTAACTTAATGTGGTAATGAAAATAATTAGTAGCTTTGGAATTAGGCATAATGTTTATAAGCCTGACCCTGAGAAGCATGTAGGCTCACAAAAGCCACGTGTACGTAACTTTCAGGAAGAAAAAAACAGGTCGAAAACTATTATGCAGAAATACGTAGGATACAGGAACTAGAGGCAACGACGGATATTTTAAACTCTAAGGATGCTACTTTGAGCACAGTTACTGATAGGTTTCAAGGACCGTGAGCTGTGAATGTTACAAATTCTTTAGGACTGTTGTGTCAGTCCCGGCTGAGTACACTGCTTTTCTTCTTCATCGTTATTTCCACCATACTTTCCCACTTTGTTAAAATGTGATCATCAAGCTGGCTCTTGAGTTCTGTTCTGCACTCAGTTCTGATGTAATAAGAAACTCAACCCCAACTGCTGCTCTGCACCACGTTCCAAGCGAGCAACACTCTGCAGAGACTGATGCTCTAGAACAACTGCATTGTTCTAGACTATCAAGGTAGAATACCATAAAGCTGACAAAGAGTTTCTTCTAGCAGTAGGTTTGTAAAAACCAACTAAGATTTGTATTCATTTGCCTGCATTACTTTCTGGAAAATCTTCTCTAGAAATAATATGCTATGATTAATTGCAGGGTTTTTTTAAAATAAAATATTGGAATATTTAAAAGACATTATATTATTTCGTCTAATATTGCAATATCCATATTATAATAATGTACTTTTAAATTTAAAAATCAGCTATGTGGTCGGTAAATTTGTAATACTCAGTATTACCGTGATTATTTTAGATGTATAAATAAAGTTGTGAATGTTCATTTTCTTCTAGTGATAACGTGAGATTTTTGCCATTCAAACACAGAATAAATGCTGCTATGAAACATTTTCTCCCGTTTAGTAAAAAAGAAAATCACAAAGCTTGCAACATCTTGCAGACAAAGAATAAGCAGAGAATACATTAAAATGTCTGTAAGATAAAGATATTTCATCTTGTTAAAAATGAAAAGGACAATGAAATAAGAGGGGTAAAATGTAAAGAGAATTTAGGAGGATCAAAGCTTCATACAAGCTTCTAATGAAAATAAACTGTACCCATAAATAAATACATACTCATATTTACGATACCTTTTTATCAGCTTAATAGATTTGAAGGCCTCATCCATGTCTCCAGCAGTAAGATAGAAGCTGAAGTTCAGCATGGCATCCCGGGTAGTCTTATCACAGTCTCCTAACCCAATGAAATCTCTCATGGGTCTTCTCGCAACCATCTGAGAGACCTTTACTGAGCCAGACTCTGCTTCTCCTGTCTCAGCTTCTCCTGGCTAAAATGAGAATGTTACAACTTAGGTATCAAGTAGGTTGAAACTTCCTCCTTTGTACGTGTAATTAATTACATTACTTCCGCTACAGTCCCAAGTTTTCTATTTCTGCAGGACCATGATCAATAGTTGCAATGTTTCAGAACTTCCTAGAAAATGCCCCAAGATATAGAATGTCGTAGAAGAGATCAGCACATCACAACGAACAATCACAGTAAGCCAGTGATAGTTTGGGGATTGGTAATATACCACAGGAGAAACAGCCTCCTATTATTATTGTCATCATCATCATCACCATCATCATCATCATTATTATTACTACTACTACTATAATAGCAACTATTATTTTAAGTCCACAGATTTCTGGAGATTTCAGATAAACATTTCTCTAAGGTTAGTCTCTTCTCAAAAATGAGTCTGCTGTTCTGAAAATTAACTATATAGACCCAATTCTTTTATTCTTGCCTTCATGTGAAGCTTATGAATGCTAAAGCTCAGATACAAACCTTCCCCATACAACTGGCAGTTCTAGAGCCTCTGGAGCTTCGCTGATACTTTCACCAGTCATTGAAAGGCAGCTCAAAGCAATTTCACCATTATTCAGAAAAATATTCAAGTCAATCATCAATATCAAATGATGTGTCTAGAGTGTAACAAGGAAACTTTCACAAGCCAAACACAGTGGAAGATCATCCGAATCACTGTTGTGCTTTAACCCCAGCCGGCAATTAAGCACCACGCAGCTGCTCGCTCACTCCTTGCCTCCCTGGTGGGATGGGGAGGATAATTGGGAAAAAAAGTGAAACTTGTGGGTTGAGATAAAGACAGTTTAATAGGACAGAAAAGGAAGATGATTATGCTGATAATAATGATGATGATAACAACAACAACAATAATAATAGAATATACAAACCAAGTGATGCACAGCACAATTGCTCACCACCGCTAACTGATGCCCAGCTAGGTCCCGAGCCGCGGCACCCCCTAGCCCCATTCTTCATCAGTTTATACCCTGAGCATGACGTCACAGGGTATGGAATACCCCTTGGGCCAGTTTGGGACAGCTGTCCTGGCTATGCTCCCACCTTCTTGTGCGCCTCCTCACTGGCAAAGCATGGGATGCTGAAAATTCCTTGTCTTAGTATAAACATTATTTAGCAACGACTAAAACATCAGTGTGTTATCAATATTATTCTCATACTAAATCCAAAACACAGCACTATACCAGCTACTAGTAAGAAAACTAACTCTATCCCAGCTGAAACCAGCACAGTCATGAAGGACACCAAATTTCACATATACTCTACCCCAATTGTATAGTTAGATGAGATAACTAAATATGAAGGTTTATAGAAGCCAATAAAAAATAGTATTCTATTATTATACAATGAAAGTATTAGATACTGTAAAATCAAAAGTGCAAATGCATTTGACTGCAATTTGGGGAACTTCTGGACCTAGGGCAGAAAAGACATTATAATGAATAAGGAGAAACCCTGGAATGAAACTTGGTCAAAACAGACTTGTTGCATCAACTCGACTGGCTATATTTAAAGCACTCTGTTCATATACTAAATCATGTTGCCAAAATGAATCATTATATAGCAAGTAATTTAGTAACTAAGATACAGTAACCTACTGAGGGAAGAGAACGGAAACAGAAAAGAGAAAAGCAGAGAATGAAGGAAGAGGAGCAAAATAATGCAGATACTTACAGGTTTATAGACATGTCCCCTCCGAAAAAACAACTAATGGCAGCAATAATCCATACAGAGTTAAAAGGAAAAAACAACAAAAAAAAGAGACGTAATATCAAAGTAAAATAGCATGAGACATGATGGTGTGAAGTGTTAAAAGAAAGATTAGAAAATGCAGCAGATCACCTTTGACCTTTCAAATTAAGGGAAAACGGAAAGTAAAAGAGAGGGCAACTCTAAATGCTAGATCTGCACAGGAAGAGCGACAACAGTCAGTTCTTTGGAAAGGGGCTAAATTGCAAAGTACTGCTCTGAATCTAAATACATTAAGTAGAAAAACATCTAGATACATTCTCCCTGTTTAACTCTGCTCCTAAACTACACGAAATTAGATTTATGTGATCACATTGGTCTGTCTCATTCAGAAAATTTAGAGGATTAGAAGTCTCATTAAGTTCCTGCAGATTTTACAAAAATAAATGCCTTCGCAGAATAAACAGACTCAGTTAAGCTCCCTCTACAAGAAGGGAGCAGTGCAAATCATCATTTTAACAGGCACTGAGGAACTTGGGTCACAGCTTAACCAGAAAACCAATCTGTAGCTAAAAGAGGCTTCATTTCTTCCAGTATGCATGGAATTATGCATGGTATTTACCTAAGATGCAAACAACTTTGGATTCATATTGAAGTTTAAGAAGTTAAAGCATGCATTCCTGGTATTTGTACACGCAGGCATTTGGTGATAGTGCAAGATGAGTATTCTTGCTCTCTTTGGTATTCTGTGGGGATTAAGCTCCCTTCCAACAAGGAAGTGGGTTGCTTCTGCTGAAGCTAGTAGGAAATGTCCCCTCTTATAGCCTACGTAACACAGCCCCCCCTTACTTGCAATAGGCACGGTGACTATGTAAAGTAGAAAGAGAAATGTTTTTCACATCCTTTTTTTAATTGCATTCCCTGGTAATTACTGTGTATCCTATGCTTGTACGTCGCATGCAGTTTGCAACATCCATGAAAAGCCAATTCAGTACAATTCCCACAATACTGCCAAGTACACCCACACCAAGAATTATCTTTACGTCATTTCTACATATGATGCAGCAACTGCCATTGCAGTTGCTCTTCTTACCCCAGACTCAGTTTGGTTAAATTTGATCCCTAGGCAGCGAAAAGTCTGAACTTATGGGAAGGAATTGTGAAAGATTTCCTCACCTTTTTTGCAAAGTAGTAATGTGGCACCTCTATGCCCAGAAGAACCTGGTAGGATGAAGGCAAGGGAAAGCTGTCCTGAAGCAAAAGGCCATGCTCTTCAGTACTGAAGAATGATATAATCCAAACATCCATCTGGAAAAGGAAGCAAAGCATTGTTTTGGTTTTATGCTGCAATATCCTTCTTTCATTTTGTTTTTATTTTCCATATTCACTTGGCAGAGCCTTCTCTTGAAAATAATATGACATATACATTCACACACACCTGCTGGAGAGCGCAGAGCACCACGCTTCCCCCCAACGGTAAGTAGCCAACAACACATTCTACATCACAGCTTGTGTTGCTACTGCAAAGGGACCTCCACCTGTGCCCTTCAGGAACCAACTTCACCGACCACAAAGAGGGACGTCCCTGGCCACAGACTGCTACTCTAGATGTTTCACTAACAAACCTGACTCAGGTCAAAGAAATACTCCTAACTGTTTTAAATGTTTTTGGTTTTTTTTTAATACTATATTATTTCTATTATAATTTCAGCAGCTCACTGACTCTTTTGAGTTCCTGGGGAAAATACCAGCCATTTAAAAATAGTTTCTGGAACACCTTGAATATTGACCTGACTGAAGTCAAAATGAAACATTTATTTCCAACTAAAATTAATCAGATTTCTCATTCCTTAAAGGATAAGCATAGAGTTAAAAGTTCTGTTGAATAAGGGCCAAAAAGTAAGTTGGATTCCTTTCATATCTTTTTATTTTTCAACTTTATGTAGAAGCCAAACATTTGTACTTGTGTACATCAGGAATATTAGGTTGAAGTGTTCTTCTCTTTGTTAGAAGATCCTAGCAAGATCTTTTGAGACATCCCTATTACATTCCTCCTTTCTACCTTGATCTTCCCATGATTTTTTTAAAGTCATTTCAACCAACAAAAGATACAAAGAGCTTTCTATCTCTAATTGGAAGAGGTTTAACTAAAATTGTGCACTAATTAGAAAACTTTTAAATCAACATGGACATTTCAAATCAATGGAATGTTTATGAAGGACAGGCAGTTGTTTACAGACAAAATGGTAAGGACTGCTACAAGCACATTAGCAAGGGAAGTGGGGAAGAATTGTTGGTCTGATGAAATAATTTTTTTATTAGATCATTTCTGATCAATAAAAATTAAATCTTTTTTTCTAGTGTAAAAAAGACCATAAAAGAGAATTTGGGAAGTACCATAAAGATGTACAATGTCTGCCCAGCAAAGCAGAAGATGGTAAGAACAGGGTGGGAAGAGTGTATTTCACTGTTCGCTTTAACAGTAGGGTCCCTGTTATTCTATCAAATTAATTCTTGCTGCTAAAAGTGGACTCAAGATTAAAAAAATCTGCATTATTTTTTAAAAAATGAGAATATCAAACCTCTAGATTATCAATTCACCCATTAATGTCACTTGAAAAACTGTAGTCCAGATACAAGCTTGCATTATGATCACCCTCAAAATTGTAGCATAGATAAAGAAATCACCTCTTTTTCTTTGTCACTGTATGCAAGCTAGGGCTAAAACCAAAAGCTAATGTACAGCGCGTGCCTGAAGCCACAGACACCAAACATGTAGTTTCACTACTCACTTTTGTACAAGATATAGTACCTACTCCCCCATCCTTAATGAAGGACCAATGATTTATTACTTGGACATGTAAAGCAAGGTAAAACAACCAAACAAAAAGACCATACTGTGCTCTCAGTCTGGTTTTTCTTCTGATCTGGAGATTGTAGGCCTGCTTCAAGAATTGCTTCACATACAAAAAGTCTCGGTTCACTCTGGTCCCAGAAATGGCAAGCAGGGATGTGACTGTGCAACTCTGGATATTCCACAACAGACCTATCAAAAGACAAGAAAAAAATGTAGAGACAAAATAATTCCAGCCCATTCAGTGCACGCATGTAAATAAAGGACTAGCCAAGGGATAATTTTCAGATGATGATCGGTTATCTACACCAGCACCTCTGCATTGTAACATTAACCATATACATCTTCCTACCTCCTAACACTTTACACCCGGCAATGCCACTTTTAGTTTGTTCTCTATACATTAACCATGACTACAGGACATAAAGCATTTCCATAGAAAAAAAGCTGGCACTGCCGCAAATACAAATAGGCACCCAAAATCTGCCTCCACTGAGATGACACGTCCTACAAAAATACTTGAACATCCTTCCAATGATCTACCTTAGTGAATGCTACCGGTGTAGGTGCCGTAACATGGGCACTACCTCAGCTCTGTCTTCTTGTGGGTTTTACAACCTGCCCCAAGGTGCTTATTGCCAGCACTGCCAGAAATGCCTGGCCAGGTTAAAGACAGCTTGAGCACACTGATGTGCGTTTAGATAAGCAGTAGAGAGTTTCTAGTCCATATGCCTCACGTTCAAATCCAGCTAAGCAGCGGTCATAAGAGATCACAACTAGACAATTGTGATTAAACTGATGGGGAAAAAAAAATAAGAAATTAGTTTGTATTCTCAGGCAACAGATCTCTCAACTGAGAGGTCAGCAAAGAGACCAGGGCGTGCAGCATGATTGACGCTTTGAACTGCTGAAGTTTTCGGTGCTGAGGGAAACTGCAGAGTTGCAGCCGAATCTGACCTGCAGCTGGGGAACTTCAGTCTCCAGATATGCCGTTGTTCATTCGCTTTCCTCAGTACCGTGCTTGACCTTCAGAGTGTGTAAGAAGAATTCCGAGGCACCGTGAAATAGCACGTTAAGCACAAGAACAACCCCTGCAGCCTTAGGAAAGCCACTCTCTGGCAGCAGTTTAAGTAAGAAACATCTTACTGCCTCCTTCGGGCACTTAAACACTACTTCAGTGCCAGTCACGTTAAAACTCTAGACGTACAGAATCAGACTATTTTAGCAATGGCTTAGGTTTCTTCTGAAAAAATACAGAATATAAGTGTCAAATTTTTAAAAAAGAGAGAAACCAAAGATATCATTAAAATATTTTTCTCATTTGCTGTCACCACTGATGGGTGGACTTTGTGGGGAGGATTGGAGTAGGGCTGGAAGGCAAATTAAGGGAGAGATTCAAAGGAATGCAGAAATACATAATGTCCTACCCATGCCACTGAATTAAAAATAAACTACTTGCAAACTGAAAAGCAGTATTTGTGTAAAAAAAAAATGGGAGTGTTTAGATTCTGTCTAAGAAGACAGAGGAGGAGAAGTAGTGTAGATTATTTTTTGGTGAGTTTACTCATTCCAATTTCAAGATACTCTGAAGTGAAGCACAGATAAATTGATTGTTCACGCCAACACCATCTAGCATTTAAATACCAGTGAAATAGTATTACTAGTTTGTGGTGGCCCCTGTTGGGCTGCACAAGATACTACACTTGAAAACAACTTTCTCCCTACTCATTATTACACTTGGCATAACTGACCAAGACATAAGGCCCCAAATTTGCACTGTCCTTAGTTTCTGATGAGCTGGGTAGTTTCTTCTGTTTTTCAATGATAAGGAGAGTAAATCCTTTTTTGTTTGTAATATCTATAGCAGATAATTACTAAAAAAGCAAACCACCTTCTATTCTAATGCTGTTCTTTCTTAAGAAAAATACAGTCAGAAAAATTATTGTAAAACCAGATGGGAATTTGTACCCTAACATTCCACCGTACTTCCATGAGAATTCCTAGTTCACTGCATTTTGTTGCCCTAGGATTTCTAATGTAACAGCTTGTATGAAAACAAAGCTGTCAGTTCTGAACAGACGTTGCGTGAGGTTTTATCCATACAAAACCATCCTTTATTGGACTTAAAAACTAACTTTTTTCCTAGGAGGAGGTTCAGATTGTCCTCTTTTCAGTTCCTACCCTGTAAACTCTCCATGGAAGAGTAGCTTTCCAAGCTACTTTCTTTTTTCTTTTTTTTTTTTTTTTTTAAGATCACGATCCTGATTCCAGTCATATAATACCTCTATGCATACCCTCCCAATACCCAATCATCCTCCTCTCAGAGATCTCTTGAGCCAGATATGGCTTCCACACATCTCCTAACTCTCACTGCATTTCTCTTCTATGAATTTGTCCAATACCTCCATGAACTCTTCCTTCATCATCTATAACTTCCTTTGGCAAGAAGTTCCTTAGCTCAGCTGCATGTTGTCTGAAGAACCACATCCTCCTGCTTACTTTGAATTTGCTTTCTGATACCTTCATTTGATACCCCCTAGTTCATGTATTGGAAGAGATAGGGATGCAGGCTGAATGACATACATCAGCTTTAATTAATTCTTTAGAAATAAAATAATTAAATTTGTACAAGCTCCTACACAAAGACAGAGGAATGCCAGTATCCAGGTGTTGCTTGTCTTCGTAGGGCAGGTTCCTATCTTAAATCCACAAGTAATACTACTCGAAATAAAAGCTTCTTACTTGTCAGTGCCTTGTCCAGAAGAAAGCTTCTCTCTACCATTTCCCTGTTCAGCCTTCAAATCAAAGAGTGTAACTTTGTCCATTTCAACATCATAGAAACAGATCTTGGAATCAATGTTCCCATCCGCCTACAAGAAGGGAAAACAAGTTGCTGAAGTATGCAGCCAAAAAGAAAAAAGGTAAAGTCCAGATGGTATGGTTATCTCCTCTGGTTCACTCAGTTTTGTTTGCTGGTAATCACAGAAGAACATTCTTTGGAAGAAATATCAGAAAATTTCTTGCTGTTTTTCTATTCTAGCAAGTTAACCTTTGGTTTCTTTCAAACATTACAAAGTAGCTTTTGTAACTAAAATACTGATGCCTTTTCTGGGTGGTTGTTCTCACCAAATGTACAAAACCTTAACATACCTTAATTTCAGTGTTCAGTTACATGACAGACATGACATTTCAAGACCCGTGCACAGCATAGAACATGTAGGTTTATTTCTGAGAAGTAGATCTTGTGTCTTTAGTAATTTTGAACTGGACCAGTCTATAGGGTGGTATGTGAAGAACTTTGCCTCACCTTGCTAACCAGGATGCTGACTTTATTGCCATTAGCATTGCATTTGACAGATGCAATGCCTCCAAGGCCAGGAAACAGCTCACAGAAATTCTTGCTATTGCAGTGCACTTTTGCCTCTCTGTGGAAAGGAATAAACTTAAATCATGAGGTGGCAAGCAACTGGCAATATGCATCAGCCAAAACAGTTTTCAAATTATGGGCAAGATTTTTAAAAACAAACTATTTCTACCTTATGACACCACTGCCCCAGACTCCAGCTTCCTCTCCAGAGAATTGCTGCAACCTGCCTTTCTTTCAGGAAGAAGTTAATGAGACAATCAACAAGAATAAACTTCAATGCTCCTACAGAATTCCCAAAACAGGGCTACACAGCAAGAACATCCTACAGAATTTTTAATTTAGAGGTCTGTTTTTCCTACGTAAGTTGGACAGTACCATGAATGTTGAATATAGCCCATCACATAAAAGTTCTGTGTATGGAAAACACGCTGTGGAGCAGAAGTAAAGCAATGTCATTGGGGGAGTGGTATTTATATCATCCTACTGGTCACTTTCCCTCTGTGCCTAAGTTCCCAAAGACTGCATCATTCACATACATAACACCCATCCCTCCCCCCACCTCACCCACCCTGCTTTTTTTATGATCTCAAAAGAATCTTACCGCTGGTATAGACACAAGCCCAGATATCATTCAGCAACAAAGAGGACAAATCTCATGAATCAAAATAATGCAACAGAAACGACAGTAATTCAGACACGTGATACAATCCCATGAAAAAAATCTTTGATTCTGTAAAAATTACATTCTTGGGTGACATGTTTAGACCTCTAATTTGTTCTAAGTCACCTATGATTGCTTTGAAATTGAAGAGCGCTGTCTGTCATCATTTGAGAAGGGGTATTTTCATTACTAGCCACACAAATTTGACATAGCACGCAGGACTTAAGCTACTTTTTCTCCATGATCAAACATCATAATCCAATATTTGTGCTAGTTACAACCTGCCCAAATCCAATAACCTTCAAATTGTGTCCCATGTGGAATATGTGCTATCTCAATACAGGTAACAGGTTTCCAAGTGGGTTAACTAACTAGACTTTAGCAATCCTCTGGTGACAGTATGTGAGGAAGAACAGAATTCATTTCACTCCTGAGGTTTTTCAGGTTTTCAAAATTACATTTGCCATTAGGAGATAAATTTTCCAACTGAAGGTCATGGCAGGTGTATATCTTTTTCATGCCACAGCTGTTTGTCAGCATGGGAACACACAGTAAAGTTTGAACAAAGTCAAGTAAACTTCCCTCTTAACCTAAACAGGAGGAAGAAGAGAGCGTCCACAATTCTAGGTTGACTTCCTCCATGGATTCACTGAATTAAGTTTGTTGATTTATGAGGAGATACGAGACGTAGCTTTTTTTTTTTTTTAATTTCAGCTCTTCTGAGATTAAGGTCTTGGTCCCGTTATCAGCAGAAACATGTGACATCTTTGTCTTGACCCTCCATAAATTCTCAACCCACTTTCAAATACACACAAATATCCCTCACAATAATTATTATTGTTATCGTTACTCATCCCATGATTTGTCTAATAATTCTGTGGCTCTTCCCTGGCTTTAGGGACAGGCCATCAGTTCACATAGGCTGCATGTATTGTCTCAAGATTCAAAGTGGCAACCACATTTCATCAGATCAAAACCAATTAAAGATTCCTCCCTCCCCAGAAAATATACATTGAATTATAAACAGATGTTGTTAAAAGGCTTATTAATACCTGCGAGAGAGATCAAAGATTTTAAAGTGAGCCAAATCAGTTCCCACAGCCAGGAAATTTCCGCAGACATCCAAGAGGCACGGATTCCCCTCTGCTTCAGAGAACACCAGCAGCTGTTTAACTGTGCCCTGAGAAGAAACATGTAACACCAGGTTTGTGTGTTCAGAGTCTAACTAGAAGGGACTTATTGGCACCAAGTTAAGTAATTAATTGCTGAACTTTTAGGTTAGATAAATCTCTACTAGCAAAATTAAACAAACTACACACACCCCCCCCACACACACACCCACCACACAGTCTCTACAAATGCAATCTGTGTTTCAGGTTGAAAACTGGATGTATAGCCTCCAAAAAAGTAAAAATTTAGAGGTATCCTTCTGCAATAATTTCCTCGTTAATAATACAACTTTTTTCCAACTAAGAGGGACACAGAAATACAGGTCCCTGAAGGTCCTTTAATATACAGCTGCAAAAATAAATATATGAATTAAATCAGTCCTTATTGTGATAAATCTCACCCTTTCTTGAATACAATATTTATTTCTTAAATAAAATTATGTATCACAGAACTCTGATAATTAGATGTCTCTTTTTGGTTCTCATGGACTATCAGAGACTGCAAAGGTTAAGCAAAAGATTCTGTAGCGACACACAGAATGTGCAGGGGGGTGTTTTTCATTATCTTATGAGAATATTCAGTATGTTCACTTTCCTGTCAGTAATATACATATTCAACCTGCATGCAATTTTGATTCTCTTAAAGGCCCTTACAGAATTCTGTTTTCTTTTAGAAATACTTACTAGTTACAGTGCAGTAGCGTTTAAAGTGACAGACTTTTTAAAGAACACAAAATGTCAAAGGTCTTTCTGCTGAAATACTCAAATTATTTTTTCTATGACGAAGATGAAGTTAATAGATTTACAGAACATACACTTAACTTTTAAGCTGTAACACCAGTCTTTGAAAACAATAAGGCTTATTTGTCACTTCGTGGTTTCATCAGCCCTTACCTGCCAAGTGCGGACCTGGACCCGATACGGCTCAACTGTGTACAGATTTTCTCCATGTGCGGACAGAACTGGAGAGTCACAAAGAAAAGCGCCTGGAACAATCACAGTAAAGCCATCATTATAACAAACAGATTTTTTAAAAGGAAAAAACAAAGGAATTTTGACTAAAAGCATTCCATGTCCACTATCTTGCACCAAATCCATTTTTCAGTCCGTCAGTCTCTACTGATTCCCAAAGTCCTTGGTGTTGCAGCCTTCTTCCATTCTGCCACTACAACCAAAAGCTGAGATTCCTACTGAAAACAGGTATTTTGTGCGCTCTGCCCATGAAAGCAAGTGGGAGAGGAAGGGGAAAGAGTTGATATGGGGAGTGAAAGAAAAAAACACTAGTGCAAACTAGACCTCTAGAACTAGAGGTTCCATTAAGAGAATTCCTTCCTTCCTTCATTGAACTACAACTGAAGAGTTGGAATCTGTGTAAGAAAAGTGGCTCTTAAATAATTTCATGAGTGTTGTAGACTGTTGGGACCTTGGTGGTACCAATGCACTGATTCAGCATGGGAAAGGTATAAAACAAATGAGTAAATATAGACAAGATAAGCCACTGCTCAGAAAACACTTGATGGTTCTTAAAAGACAAAGCCTAAACTCTCAAGATTTTGGAAGGGATTGATGGAATTCTGCATAACCTGTTTCTCAAGGCAGAAATATTTAGGGATAATTAATCACAGAAAAAAATAATTTATTTGACTTAGAGGTATATACAGCAATTTATGGAACAGATTTTCCTGACAATTAGGACCAAAACCCACTCCTTCCCAGTTCCTACGTAAGTGCTATTTAACCTGGATTACACTTGCTCCCAAGCAAAATAGAAAAGCCTTCAACAGCCATCATCACGACCTATCTGTAGATGGCAACGGGAGCTATGGCTACAGAAGTAGGGAAAAAAAATCTGTTCTTGATCAACTGTTGGAATGATTTACTTAAAAGATAAAAAGAAGCAGCCTTCTCCTCACATCATGTTATGTGCAAGGCCCTATATGATATGCTAGCTGTGAGGATACCTTTCAAGTCTAGGTGTGACAGTCGGGTATGTATCTACCCTGTGGGAAACAGCAACAAGATGCTTAGTTTTGTCAAGGCCAGTCACACCCTTGGATGCCTTAGGAGCTCTATGAATGAAGCACATTTAGTCTTCAGGTGCTTCCAGGATTGGGCTGTAGCTGAACAGGGGTTAAGAGCATATGTATTTTAATTTTATGCCTACAAACGTACATCATCTTTGGTTTTACCTCTGTTGCCACACTGCTACTCATATACAGGAATACCAGCATATTCTGAGGTTAACCCACACACTATATCCCAGCATGTTTAGTGAATAAAGCACAGATACAGGAGTTGGCATTTGAGTTCTGGTTTTGTCAATGATTTCTATACCCTAATCTTTCTATTCTGCAAAATGGGAATATGAAGCCTAATTAGTGTTATAGTATTTTTCACTTTGCACTTATGATAACAGTCTATCAGCTATCATGAATGAAGAGAACATGTAACTTTGAAGGAAGAGAACCATTGCAACTCTGATCGGTGTTCTGAGTCCTACCCGCAGTTCTGAAGGTATCTCCTGAGCACTCAAAGACAGCAACTTGCTTCCCATTCCAGAATACTACAGCATCCTAAACCAATCAAAAAAGCAAAAGAATACATACATTCAGGTTTTTTTTGAATCACACAGGGATTCATGCAATAACACAGCAAGACCTCCCACACAATAGTGACCATTCATTAGTTCCTCTGTATATTGAGCTGGAAGGTTTTTGCTAGCCCAAAAGTTCTCTGGTCAGCCCCCAGAAAATTACTGAGCGATGGTGCTGTCTGAAAATCACCACAGCATCATTGCTACCGTCATAACATTACTTCCACTACACAATAAATTGAATATCAAAGAAAGTTTATATTAAAGACTTGGCAAGTTTGGTCTCCATACCCCTAACTAGGCAAATGATCAAGCAAATAAATGAAAAAACTCAATTAACCTTAGTAGCAAAGACACCATTAACATTCATATCAATGTGAAGACTGTGCGTGGTTCCTGTGCTGAAGATGGTCACATTAAACAAGTTGGGAGACACCTGTACAACAGCCACTTGCTGATGAAAATGAGACGACATGGCCCGCTCACTAAGGATCACCACAGAGCTGATGATGTTCACTGCCAGCAGGTTTTTTCGGGAGCCCCACTGCACACAATGGGAAGAGAAAGAAAAAAGAAAAAAGAAAAAAGAAAAAAAAGAAGAAAAAAGAAAAAAAAAGGCACAACACACAATTTCATCTAAGATCTTTAAGATCTTGAACAGTCACAGCAATGTCCCAAGTCAGATGACAAGGGGTAGGCTAGAATAAACATTTCTATACGTATACAAAGTCCTACTAACTAAATACTATAGCAAATGACTAGGAATTATTACAGATTAAAATTATTATGCTTGTTACCCAGCTACTCAGACTCCCTTAGTGTAAGTAGAGGAGCTGGTTTTCAAACTAAAACCACTTTTCTTTCCAAAGATATTATTGCACTACCTTACATTTACTACTGCAAGAGAGCATCACATATTTAAAGGGCTTAATAATGCTGTGATCTGTAAAAGCAAGTAGCATGCATAGGGGTTTTTTTATTATGATATTCTTTTCTGCAGTTTTGATAGCTCTTTCAGTCAATAGAGTTCAAGTTCCCTAGGAAAGAGTCACATGCATAAAGAAAGAGGTCCAAAAGTACGCTTCTCCCCTTCTCCTGGAAGAATCTCCAGGTTCCAGCTAGCTCTTTTTCAATGAGTTTCTATGAAGGTTATCCTTCCCTCCTTTTAAGATCGAAAAATAGCACCTACACAGAGCAATTCTAAAACTGAAAATACCTTACAAAATTCAATGGGAGAAAGATTTGTTTCCAAGATGGCTTGCAAAGACACAGGTTTTACCATGCAGCTGATGGTAAGCTGACTTTCTATTATTAAAGAGAAAGCAATGCTCCCATTTTCATTCTTTCTTCCTATATTCACAGTCAAACAAGCGTGTCTGACATTGTTTATGTTTATTCCTACCAAAGGATGGCTCTTTCCAGAAAGCGTTGTGGCAACCAGCTGACCACACGTGAACTCTTTGCACATACCACGTTAGCCAGAAGCAATCCAAACTCCAGTCTGGAAGCTATGACTGTGTGGCGGGGGTGTGCAGGGCTGCTACTCCTGAGCTACTACACCATTGACAATGCTCCTCGATAAGCAGAGTCCATAGTTCACTGCACAGCTTCAGCTCAGGACGTCCCTCAGGGTTGGGCCAGGGAACAGGCAGAGGGGCTTGGGGTTGAGTTTTTGTGTGTGGAGGGGTTTTAATCTACCGCAGACCATTCATACACACATACCTGCATGGGCTAGATAAATGATAAAGTTTCTCGGAGCTGCAGAAATTCCCTTTAAAGTCCAAGAACTTCTCTGTCCTTGCACAACTGATAAGCCCTATAAACTCTAGGGATATACCAAGTCTCTAAGGTCTCTGCTTCCCTCCAAGTTATTTGAAGTTACATATTAATTTCCTGGCATACTGATATTTCTGTGGCTATACCTTTCCAGCAACACAGATTTAAATAGTTGTGTTTGGAAATAATTTCATTTTTTTCAAGACCATGATCTAACAAATAAAGTTATTTTGCATGGTTTGTTCAGGGTTTTCTTTTAATGGCACGTAGTTACAATTAACTAGATACTGTGCTGCACAACAGATGAGCTAGAGTGCATTTCCCAAGCACCTCTCTTTTGAGGTCACCATATCAGGTTGAAAGAAGATGAGGTTGGCAAGGAGTCAAATGAAGTTATTGCTGCCCTTTGACATCACCATGGTATATGGCTTTCTGTTCTGAGTTTTTCATGGTAATATTGGAAAAGGCTTTTATAGGAATTACCAAAAGATTCCACACGTAACAATTTTTAAAATCTTTCACAAAATATTTTTCGGAATGCAGGAATGACAATAAAAAATAATCTAGAGTTTCCATAATTAAAGACAGCTTTATAACACGAGATAAAACCACAGCGATTGTTGACAATTGTTTGGCAATGCTTTTGTTTATGCTAACAAACATTGGGAACAAGGTGCTATTTCTGGACAGCGCTCCATATCCTGTTATCTGGAAAATGCTTGAATGGTCAAGCTGACACAAACACCTATATCTCTTCCCTTCCTACAACTTGATGTATGATATACTAACGGCACATGCTATTTCCTATATCCTGGAGCTTTTGTTACTGAAGCATCGTAACAAAAGATTTGGGTTCTCCACTTTAACAGTACTTATGTTTTCATTTTATAAGTAGGACTCTGATACAGACCCTCCCTATATGCCAACCCAGAGGAAGCAAATGTCATTGCATTTAAACACTTTCCATTCTTATGTGAAAACAGAATAAAAGAAAACATGAAATTGCTTTCTCTTGAAAGGCAGTAGAAATATTTGATTTTCATCCTTCTGAAAAATAATGGGTATTGTTCTCACATATAAAGCACAGCAACAGAATAATCTAAGTTATAATGGAAACTCTAAAAAAACTGGAAAAAAATAATAGGGTATAACAAACTAAACAAAAAATGCTGGAGAATCTAAAAGCACAAGCTTTGCCTTTTAGCAGAATGGTGATGGTCAAAAAAGCTAACTATTTGTTAATGTAAAAGTTCTTAAATGTAAATTTACAATTGTAATGCTCAGCATTTCTCTTTTGCATGTATCAAAATGCTAATAAGTAAAGAATGACAATGTTTAAGCTTATTGTGACAAATGAAAATATTTCCAATAAATAAAAATGCTGCAGCCTGACACTTAACAGACAATGGGTTAAAAACTAAATATTATAATGCTATGTATTGTCATAAACTTCAGGATTAAAAATGTTCTAAATAGCAGTAGAAATGCTTTAGAGCATTGGCTTTGCAAATTTGTAAGAGAAAACTTGTAATTCCCATCTAGTCTGACATTGTCACACATAAAAAAAATTATCCAGCAAACAAGAAACATTTTCTGACAAAAAAGCAGATAAAAACATCATTCTGAGTGTAAAAATATAGCATTGACTTCTAGATGGCGCATCTTCTTACCAAAGAATATTTGGTTATAAATACATCTTTTTATTTTTCAACTACCAGTAAGAGCAAACTTTACGTTGAGAAAGCGACTAAAAAAAAATAATTATCTACAAATAAAATCATGCATTTAGTCAGATTTTCTGGCCTGTTATTTTAATATATTTCTGTAAATTAGACATTTCTGACAATCTGTCTTTTCCAGAAAATAATTTCAGGGTGCTGAAACCAAAGGGTTTGTCAATGAGACATATAATGGAGAGATGTTTGGATTTAAGGATGCCAGGACTATTAATTCTCCCAGAGAAAGAGGTGTATTTCAGTGTGTTATCTTGCTGAGTGTTTCAACCCTGCCTGTAACAGAATAGCTACAAATGGGTAATATTTCTGCCCATTTTAATTTTAAAAGTTACTGGATCCTGATGGGTTTTCCTCCTCCGGAGGACAACCAGCCTCTACTGGTGCACATATCCGTATGATAGCGATCATATTCATCTGTTTCACAAAGATGATCTATTCATCTAGCATTTGTGAAGTCCTACTAACGTGCAAGAAGACTCTTTCCTGTCTTACCTTTATCTGAGTGACATTTCCTTCAAGTTCTGTAGGTGCCTGGAGCTTCCACTTCTCCTTGCCCTCCAAAGCCCGTATGCTCTGATCGGATCCTGCTGCTTTCCTCCACATAGCTACTCTCCCTTTGTTAGTACCAGCTGCTAAGAGACCTGCCATTCACAAACCTTTTAGGCATTTCATATCTTAAACTTCAGAAAAAACAAACCCACACTATACAAAGCAGCAGGCAGCCTAGCTCTGGTTCTAAGGTACTGAGAAGAAGCCACCTTCTAGCAGCACCCATTTCTTTGCCTTCCTGCAAACCAGCATCCTAGTCCTGAACTGGAGAAACTTTCTGAAGAAACAATGGGAGAAATTTAACGTGGCAAAACCCAATTTCTAAGCTACCAGATGAAGTTATCTTTTAAATGTATCAAACAATGATTTCATTTTAATCATTTATTTTTGAATAGCTGGTTTTGTTATCACCATGGGCAAGTCACCACTGAACCCATTCTAGCAGACACTAGCTCTGCCTACACTGGCAAACGAGGTGACGCACAGGAGTAGCTCTGTAGAAAATGTCAGGTATAAGGACCTGACGTCCACGCTGTACATGTTTGGTGAGTTCTACTTTGCATTTGCTCTAATGTGGGCTTGTAGACTGAACGCCCATAACATGTTGGGGTGCATTAGGTGTACCCCAGGAGTACTTGTACCAGTTCAGTGTCATCAAAGGGAATCCAGCCTGTGTGCTGGAAGACAACTCCACACTGAGACGAAGTGCAGTGAGTATCGACTGATCTTGTTGTACCTTCCCAAGCACACTCCTGATCTGAACTAAAACGCTCCTACATCATGTGCTGTTACCGAAACCCTCAGTAACAAGACAAACGTACTGAAGCAACTACAGGGCACTGAATGCTGAGGTTTGGCAAGGTTCAGGATCCAGAGATCACAGCTGCCATGTTATTTCTCACCTTTAGCACTGCAGTAAGAAACACAGTTAATACATTCTCCTCCCTCAAAGCCAAATTGCACATCTGGGGAGAGCACATAGTTCTCGTCTCGGTCCAAATCCCAGAACCTAAGGTACACAAAACAAGAGTGTTAACAATGCTTTTCCTTCCAGGTGTCTTGCTAAACACAGTCAATAGGATGCTGTACATGGCATTAATTTGCTATTTCCATAATGCCCAGATCATTCAAATTTTAAAATTAAATTGCCAGCAGCTGCCTCTGGAATGTGAATTTCTTAACAGTCTCCTTCCTTTTCCTTTGACTTTTTAATCTGCGGCATGTTTTGTGATATTCCCCTATGAAGAAAGGAGTCAAAAGCAAACCCAGCTTTAAGAAAAAAAAGAAAAGTAGTGAAGTCTAGTTGCAATCTTCCTCCTCCCTACTTACGTTTCCTCCTCTATTTTAAGAATATTCCTTGGTTAACCAGTAGTCCTTTAGATTCCAGAGTTATTTTCTAGAACTAAACATCAAACATATTCCTTCTTGATACTCAGTCTTTATCACATTCTCACAAAATTAACAGATGATTCTGTCTGATAGTAGCAGATAGAAGGTCAAGAAAGTGAAGTGCTGAAGTTAATGGAATACCTCCACCCCCCAAAAAAAGTCAAAGGAAACAGGTAGAGCAAGTCATAGTAATGACAGGAAAAAAAGGATTTTAAAAGATGCAAAAAGATCAAAACTAGAGAACATGGTAACCTAGCAGCATGTTGAATTACAATACTTAAAGAATTAGGAATAGAAGCATCTGAACTACTTATATTACAGTAACAGAGAAACATCCTGAAAAGCAAGCACGTTCTTTCCCGTTGCTGATGCTATGACTATCCTAAGAATCAGACAATAACAATGGAAAGAACAGCGAAGTGGCTATCTTTTTCATGCTGTCCTGGTTTCAGCTGAGAGGATTAATTTTTCTTCATAGTAGCTAGTGTGGGGATATGTTTCGGATTTGTGCTGGAGACAGCATTGATAATATAGACATGTTTTTGTTCTATGGACTTATTGTTGAGCAGTGTTTACACGAGGCCAAGGCCTTTTCTGCTTCTTGCACTGCCCTGCCAGCGGGATGGCTGGGGGTGCACAAGAAGTTGGGAGGAGACACAGACAGGACAGGTGACCAAAGGGATATTCCATACTATATGATGTCATGCTCAGTTTATAAGGAGCTTGGAGGAAGAGGGGGGGGGCAGCGGCGTTCGGAGCAATGGCGTTTGTCTTCCATGTAACCGTTACGCGTGACAGAGCCCGGCTTTCCTGGAGATGGCTGAACACCTGCTTGCCCATGGGAAGTGGTGAATGAATTCCTTGCTTTGCTGTGCTTGTGCGCGCGGCTTTTGCTTTACCTATTAAACTGTCTTTATCTCAACCCACGAGTTTTTTCACTTTAACTTTTCCAATTCTCTCCCCCATCCCGATGGGGAGGGAGTGAACGAGCAGCTGCGTGGTGCTCAGCTGCAAGCTGGGGTAAAACCACGACACATGCAAAAACCTCAACTGGATATATTTTCAGAAGGAATCAATAACAGCACTCAAGAAAGGACAGATTTGGGTGGTCATGCCTGACAAAATAAAATCACTAGGGAGAAAGACAGATGTATAGAATTAGTTTTTGTTGTCAAGGAAACAGATTTTTTCATTTCATTTCTCTATTTATTTTGAGAAACACAATTAGAAAATATTTGAGTTTTTTCATTATTGGTATAAAAAGTCCCAACAAAACAACAAAAAAACAGTTCAGTAAAATATTCAGTGCATTGTGGACCATAAACCTCTTAGCTGGCACTTCTTATGGGCAGTCAGAACAGCTTTAAAACAGGATTCTTACCTGATGACTGTCTCGCCTAGTGCTGTAACAACAAGGCTGTGGTCTATTAAAATGATGTCTGCAGAATGACCTATCTTCCCACTCAACTTCACCTGTTAACCATAAGTAAATAAATAAATTTACAGAAGGTAGGAGGAACACACTGAAAGAGAGTAAGCATCTGAATTGCCTAGTTTGGCTAAAAAGTTAAAATATAAGAATAACTAGACCTGTCTGTCAGTTCAGATAGACCAATAGTTTCTCTCAGGCAGTGATCACCACTAAACGCATCAAGTATATGATGTATAAGTTTAATAAAAGAAACCTTGTTGTGGGTTAATTAAGTAGCTAAGAAGCAGTTTTTTCTCTTGTACTGGATCTTCTCTTAGAACTTGATAAAGATTGCTTTAAAATGTGAAATACCAAATCTTACTTCTATTCAAAAATAAGTAATGATTAATAAGAAGTGGACACTCCTGTAATACACAAGTGCCCAGTCTTTTTTGATATTAGATAAAAAGAAATAAAATCTTAGGAAAGTGAGGCTTGGGTTCCATCCCTCCAAGCAGTATACTCCAATGGTACAGTATTTGGTTTGAGCCAAGGTGATTATAAGTCCTGGATGAAGTCAGTTTGGGTCCCTATGCAATAATTTTTGGGTCACTACGTTATTATTTGTGATTCTGTGACTTGTGGGTTGCTATTTTTTAAAAGCTTCCTAGCCTTTGCAGCTGTGAAGAACAACTTCACAGTGTGAGAACTAAACCATCTTTCCAATTTGCAAAGACAGTATCATCGAGAGAGATACTGCTCTTACTAATCTGAAAGACAAGACAGCTCTGAGTGACTGATGATAATAAAACCAAGGACACAGATTATCAACTATTTATCCACAAGACATTTTAACAAATATTTGATTATACTGGAATTTTCAATTCTTCTCTAATTCACTAAGACAAGGTAAATGAACTGTAAAGGGGTTAACATAGGGTCAAAATGAAAGAAACTAAGCAAAAACAGGAAAGCAAGATGAAAACCATCTTCCCAAAAATGAGCACATATTTGTTCATCAAGGTATTATCTGAGAAACAAAAATGAAAGTTGATTCATTTGTAAGGAAAAAGGTGATAATCAAAAAACCCTAATGAATACTTATAAAGATTTACCATTGCAACTTCACGCTGTAGTCCGACTCTTACCTTCATGAGCTCTTCTGCCTCTCCCTCAGGAGTAATTGCATGCAAGGATAACTGCAGATTCTCTGTTATTACAACTAAAACATCTCTTTCCTCCATGAACAGAAGCTTTTGGATCAGACTGTCTGTGGACAATACATGCCTTGTCTTTCCTTTCTCATTCACATAATGCACAGAGCCTGTAGCACACATAAACAAGGTATAGTTTTCAGTCAACAGTTTTTAGCTATAAAATCAAAGTTGCTCCTTTCTACCTTAATAAAATATTCCTCAAGAGGCAAAAAGGTAAAAATAACACAATTCTTTTGTCTTCTAGTTTCTCTCAGGATACAGACTACTATCGTTGACCAGAGCAATAACAAAAAAAACTTACTCACTTTTTCCCCATCTAGGAAATCCAGAGAGAAATCGTTTAAATGCCATCATTTAAATAATTTTGAACTACAAGTAAACTTTCTACATATGTGTGCATGAATGATGCCTTCTGAAATATTCACTATTAATAATTATGAAAGAAGAATGGCAGCTAAGAATTGGTACAATTTACACCAGAGTCTAGATTATAGAAAACTGTGGATATGAAGTTCTTCATTTTCTAGAAACACTCCCCCACACACCCATTACAGCTTTTCTGCATTAATTTCACAAGCAAATGGGATAGTGTCTTTCTAAGAACACTGACAACACAGCGTGTGACTTCGTAACTACAGCACCTACCAACATTTTAAAAGCCATTATCATTTTGTTAAGCTGTAATACTGTATAAATCATGCGCAGGTCCACTCAGTGAAAAACCCTAGAATTAGTATAGCCGCTTGCAAAACGTATTACAGAAATCACCCAAAACAAATGAAGTCATTGAAATCTCACAGATCTCATGCCACACACTTATACATAGTTTCTTAGCAAATCATGTTATTATATAAATGTGGCATTTCAAACCAGTGCAAATGAAAAAACCCTATAAAATGAAACAATATTTTCCCCCAAAAGTTGAAGTAGAAAACACAAATGTATAACAATGAACATTAAGGATCCATGCTAAAATGTTGCACCCAAGAGGCAATATGATGTATCTAATTAAAAAGAATATTTTAATTTCCAAAACTCTTCAAATATATTAGCATCCTCTACATTCCAAATACATATATAAAAAAAAAAAAAATCAAACTGCTCTCCCACCTCCTCCCACATTGCTTCATTTTCTCCCTGAAATAGAACACTGAACAGATAACTTCATTCATCTCTCCTGTTAAATTACAGACCAGTTTGGGGTGGAAGGGACCTTTACAGCTCATCTAGTCCAACCCCCTGCAGTGAGCAGGCACATCTTCAACTACATCAGGTTGCTCAGAGCCCTGTCCAACCTGACCTGGAACGTTGCCAGGGATGGGGCATCCACCACCTCTCTGGGCAACCTGGTCCAGTGTTTCACCACCCTCATTGTAAAAATTTCTTCCTTGTATCGAGTCTGAATCTCCTGTCTTTTAGTTTAAAATAATTACTCCTTGTAGGTCGCAACAGGTCCTACTAAAAAGTCTGTCCTCAGCTTTCCTGTAGCCCCTTTAGGGACTGGAAGGGACTCTTAAGGTCTCCCTGGAGCCTTCTCTTCTCCAGGCTGAACAAGCCCAACTCTCTCAGCCTGTCTCCATAGCAGAGGTGCTCCAGCCCTCGGATCATCTCCGTGGCCTCCTCTGGACTCGCTCCAACAGCTCCATGTCCTTCTTGTGCTGGGGACCCCTGAGCTAGACGCAGTACTGCGGGAGGGGGGGTCTCACCAGAGCGGAGCAGAGGGGCAGAATCCTCTCCCTCGACCTGCTGGTCACGCTGCTGGGAATGCAACCCAGGACACGGTTGGCTTTCTGGGCTGCCAGCATCCATTGCTGGGTCACATAGAGCTTCTGTCCCCCAACACCCCCACATCCTTCTCCTCAGGGCTGCTCTCCATCCATTCTCCGCCCAGTCTGCACCAATACTGGGGACAGTTCTCCAGTGTAGCATTCTCTATCACACAGATATCTTTTTACTGTAGTAACGCTTTGCAGTAACCAATCATCTCCTGAATCTCAGTTTTATGGGATCTTTTAAAAGAAACGGACAATCCCTTGATTTTATTTACCATCTGAAATTGTTTCATAAGTTAAATTAACCTTCTGTACTTGGATATTACCATACAAAGCATCAGGTATTGCACAGATAACGCTACCCACTATTTTGAAGATACTTAGGCAGTTAGGGAGAGAGTTATAGTTTTCTGAGTAACTTTAAGAAAGTTTTCACACTGTATCACACAAGAGACTAATCTCAAAACTTAACAAATCTGAGCTAATTAAGTAGAGCAAATAACTCTGCAATCCAGATGACAAAAAGCAGCAGAAAGTGTATACTGTTTAGGAAATAAAAAGGGGACCAGAAGAGGATTATTACTCATGACCTGAAATGTCTGCAGTGAAGACAAACAAGGGTGCGTTCAGCAAATATATCAGGACGACTTCCACTATTCAGGGTATGTCCTGTGGCACTCATCTCAAGTGGACGGTAATGAAGATGATTCTTTGTGCTCATGAGAAGTGTTGTAAAACAACCTCTGAAAATTGTTATCAGTTCAGGTGTTCTCTCTTCAGATAAGCATCTCATGTAACACATTACCTGAACTGCATCTGTTGCTTTACTGCAATGATCAGTGTCTTGGAAGCATCAAAAAATATCTAGACTAATAAATATGTCAAACTTGGGAGGTTTTTTTCATTTTGTTTTAGGCTTTTTGAGGCGTTTAATTGTTTATCTAGTTTTGCTTTAAAAGATGCTCTATTGTCTTTAGTCAGATCTCTTTTGAGATATTTAAAAGCATGCAGTAAAAATATTTTTTTAATTCATTTTTACTAAACAAGTTTGAGCTGAGGATCCATACTTTAGAGGAAATTTCCAGGTCACACTTAAACCCCACAAAAATATTAACTGATTCTGAAGTTATGACAGATCACTAACTAGATCAAGAACTGGGTCCAAAATATATATCCCCAAATCAGCCTAGGCAATGAGACTGCTCAAAAGAAACAGCCTGTGTCATTTGACCGAAATTTGAAAAGTTTGAACAGGAGGTCCAAAAAAGGAGGTGTGAAGGACAGCCACTTGCAGGACACAGAGTCTGTTCCTAGATGGAGCTGTGTACCACCACACCAGTGCTTTGGAAGTGAGGATGTAACAGGAATGGCTACTCAAACATTCGCTCCTTGTACGTTGAAGAAGTGCCCTGTACCCCTTTTTCATTTAAACGGTTCATATCTAGTAAAGAGGCTTGTAACTCCCAAATCAAATGAGGGTTCTGCAAAACACTCCACAAACACAAAACAACGGCACTCCTGCAATCATATGGAAGCTATACTGGTGTAAATGATGGGTCTCATTCTTGATAAATGCTGAATCAAACTGTAATTGAGCTGCAGAACTAGCATAACTTCAATGTTTTTCAGAGTAGTTAACACTTGAATAGAGAGGATTACATACTCGAATCACCTACCAGAGACATGCTCATTACGATACTTGTCACACACATTCTGGCTTCTGTCCAAAGAGTTAAAAGGTTAGAGAGATAGGAGTCATGAGAACAACTGGGGTAGGAGGAAAACGAGCTGGGAGCAAACTAGTACCCAGAACAGTAAAAGGGAGAAGGAAAAGACAAATGGCAGGGAAGAAACACATTAGGAAGAAAACTAACAAAACAGATATTCAGACCTTGTTTCCTTAGACTGAAGCCTCATTTCAAAGCATGAGAGAAACAGTAAATTAATAATTTATTTTAAAAGGTACGTCCTAGCAGCACTTGCCTATTTCTAGGAAAAAAAACCAAACTACAAAACCCAACACATGCATTATTTTGAAGCTTTGCACAAAATGCTGACAGCTTCTAATTTTATTTACACTTAGGTGTTAGAGATCACTTTCCTTACACTCACCTCTTCAGGAACCTGAATATGAGACCTATGGCGTCCTTTTGGAGAGGACTCACCCTGAAGATGCTGAGATTTTAATAATTTTATTTCTTCTTATCAAACATTCTTCAACTCCTATGAATACTCTATCCTGTTGGATATATGAATATGATGGATAGATGGATATACTCTGGATGTTGAATATATGAAAACAGGACTATGGTGCACTGAGCTATTTTGAAGCACTAAGGAGACAAATTTCCAGCGGACTGGAAAAGTGGTTTTGGTCTTACCATCTGTCAAAGTGATAAAGAAGGACAGTCCTTCCTGGAGTCCCATTCTCAGAGGTGCTCCCGTTCCAGCTTTTCTCCAGTTAAACATATCCAAGGCCTTCTCATCACCACCCACAGCTGCTTTTGCCAGCTGTACAAAGTCCCTGCAAACAGAGATACTTAATTTCCAATTCCTTACATAACAGGGTATTTTCCATCTCAAAGAAGGGACGAGTAGTTAATAAAACATATTGTAAAGCCAGAATAAAGATGTTTCATACACTGGTTGGAAAAAGGACAACCTCAAAAAGATACAAAGTAAAATTTTAATACTAGTATTCATTGTTTCACCTTTTTTTCCACAAGCATTATTGCTTTTACAGAGATGTGAAACAGAAGTGGCCCAGACAAGAACATTTATTTTTTTTTTTACTACAGTTGTTTCCTATTTCTTGCTTGGAGAGAAAGGAAATAATAATGTTTAAGAACTGACTTTTAGTTTAATTATTCTTGCCAATCATTTAATGGATAATTGAGTTTTTAGAGTGCTTTCTGCTTTTCATGATCAGCAACATTGCTAATTAGAAAAACTAAAGGAAGAAGAGTCAACAGCAACAGAGAGAAAAGTATGGACAAAAGGAAGATCTGTTGCTGCAGACAGGACACAAATAGCCAGCTACTAGAGTGGGAGAAGAACTTGGAAATAAAGGACAGTTAGGAGAATAACTTTTTTTTTTTTTAAAGTTTGTCTGTGAGTAGGAATTTCTTTCCATGGATCAAGAGAAAGACCTGGTATACGAGTGCTCTGATGGAGCCCAAAACTTACTCGCCAGGAGGGGGTGGTCGAAAGACACAGTGAGACAGACATTTCCCAAACTCTTGTTTCACCAGGGCAGGACCTTGCACTCTGCCTCGCTGGTCCATTCTCCATAGAACCAAGACACCTTGCTAGAAAAAGACAATGGGTAATTCATTACACTTTGCACACAGATGAGAATCCAGATTTCAGCTACTCAGCACACATAAAAATGAACATTTTATTCACAGTGTGTGCTGGTTTTGGCTGGGATAGAGTTAATTTTCTTCACAGTAGCTAGCAGGGCTGGGGGTGGGATTTGTGCTGAGAACAGTGCTGATACCACAGGGATGTTTTTGTTCCTGCTAAGCAGTGCTTACACAGAGCCAAGGCCTTTTGAGCCAAGGCCTTCTCTGCTCCTCACATCCCCCACCAGCGAGTAGCTGGGGGTGCACAAGGGGTTGGGAGGGGACACAGCTGGGACAGCTGACCCCAGTGACCCAAGGGATATTCCATACCATATGATGTCATGCTCAGCATAGAAAGCTGGGGAAGAAGAATTAAGGGAGGGACATTCGGAGCGATGGTGTTTGTCTTCCCTAGTCACTGTTATGCATAACGGAGCCCGGCTTTCCTGGGGATGGCTCAACACCTGCCTGCCATGGGACGTGGGGAATGAATTCTTTGGTTTGCTTTGCTTGTGTGCACAGCTTTAGCTTTACCTGTTAAACTGTCTGTATCTCAACCCGTGAGTTTTCTCACTTTTACTCTTCTAATTCTCTCCCCCATCCCACCGGGGGGAGCGAGCGAACGGCTGCGCCAGCTGGGGTTAAACCCCAACACAGAGCAACACCATTCCTTTCATTTAGCTGACATATACAATTTCTCCCACTGAAAACTAAGCCACAAGGAATAAAAAATATTTTTAACATTACATTATTTGCTTATTTAAAATCAAGTTATCTAAAAAAGCTTGTTGGTCATATCCATTCTTAGTAAAATGACACTGCCAGAGTAATTAAGTGGAATAGCTTTGGTTTTCCTCTGCAAGTAGCATATGCAAATACTTGTTTAGGTAACTCCCTTTCTACTTTTTTTCTTGCAAGTAGTCTGACTGCTAAAAGAAAAGATACTGAGATAAAAGCTAGCAAAGCATAAGATATGCCTCCTTGAGTAAGTGCATGTAAAACTGATATAGATGAGCACAGGTATATGATTAGACACATGTGAAGTCACAGGATGCAGATAATCTAAGGAAAGAATTTCAGAATTTCTGGAGCTTTCTTCTTTCAGAGTAGACATTCAAGTACAACAAGAATTCATTTTTAGAAACAGCACTTAGTAACTAGGAGAATCATAGACGCTAAAGAGAGGCAAACTGGTTAGCTAATTAATTCAATATAGTAGTCAATATAAGATGGCCCTCAGGGCCTGGCACAGGTTCTGAAGGTAACACGCATTTGGCAGTGCCAGCTCAGAATGAGCACCAACCCCTGGTAACTGGAAAGGATGGAGAAGGCAGAGAAGCAAAAAGAAAGTTCAGCATATGTTATATATACTTATACGTTAACCATCCCAACAAACTGACTGATGCTACAGCCTCACAGCTGGAATTTTAAGATTATTATTTATTGCTGTTATTGTGTCAGTGCTTAGGGAACCAAATTGTATTTGGAGGCCCTCTTGTGTAAGCATTACATGAAAAAAAAAAGTAACAATTCGCAATATGAAGTTCAATCTCGTTTTATCTCATTAAGATAGATAATAAAATGGTATTATAATGTGCTCTATTTTTCTTTATTGTTTTCAATGGAGTATAGTCTTTCTAGAAGTGAAAGACTAGTATCAGTGGTACAGTCTAAACACTTATTCTTCAGAATCCTAACTAGAAGCCACACAAGATGTAGCTGAGGCCTTCCAAGGTAACATTTCCTTCTTTTTTTTTTTTCTTTTTTTCCTAAGAATCAAAGTTCTTTCTTCTTTCAGTATACCACCCAAAACTGTTTATTAAGGGCAATAATAAGCTCTTACAGCTTAAAGAATGTGACACAGCTGTGCATCTGTGAAACTGCTGTACTTAAGTTCCAAGAGGCCACCTGAGGTTCACACAATGTTTGCTGGTTAGCTCTGGAATCACAGGATCCTATGATCAGAAAGTTCATGTCCTGTTGGCTCCTCCTCACTTTTACCTCAGCTTTAAGTGTCACCAAATTCCAGCGATCCCAACTAAGAACACCTGCAGCATTTATAAACTGGAAGAAAAGCCTGCAGCTTTGTAAAGTTGCTGACCTTCCTTCCATCCCATTCTAGACATCCCATCGTGTATCCAGATAACCTAGTTGCAAACTCAGTTCTAAGTCTGGAACACATGAGATTGGAAATAAAAAAGCTCATTACCTTTTCTAAGTGTGACTGGTTATAGAAAGGATGCAGAACCGGTCTGCTTTCAAATGGTATTTGAAAAGGACAAAGGACATTGACCTTATCATCTATAGGATTTAAGGTATCCTGTATCTTCCCAATCGTTCTTAACAACCCAAAGCTTTAGCTTCTTGTTATAAAGTCTATTTCCTTTATAAATAGGCTTTCACTATAGAAAGGACCTAGATTCTTAAATTTTTGTGTGTGATTGAAACCTGGAAGTCATCCATGTTATTTGTTATTTAAAACACAAATTAAGAGCTTCTGATTTTTACAGCATCTTATTCCAACTTTAATTATTTTCAATTTTCTTGCAACTCAGGATTTCTGTTCTCAGCTGAGGACTCTCAGTTATGAAGTCCCAGTGAAGATCAAACAGAAATCAACTCAGGGTCCAAATATTTATCTTCTTTGTAAGGGTATTCCTCTAACATGCACAGAGTATGATCCTGGTAGCACTCACCTCATGGCAGTTACCTGAATATAAACCTTCATGAGAAACATTTTAAAAGTAAACTTAAAAGCCATTGGGAAAGATGTAGGAAATGACGCATACCTATGCTGCACATCAGACCACAGTACAATGGCACTGAGGTGCCACACCACGGATGGGTGGCAGAGACACCACCTCGGAGCTAGCCAGAGGATGCTCAGCGAGCCTGGGCTCTGCGCAAGGCTGATTAGCTCAAGGTGGCCGCTCCAGACACAGCCCCGGGCTTTGAAGGACCCACCGTTCATTGGCCAGGGACACCAGGCACACCCTGAACTGCGCTGGGACGCCAGGGAGTACCCTGAACTGCACTCAGCCCTGTGTTGCATCGTCTGCAGAGGGTAATGCAGCTACGTGCAATAACGAACTTTGCCAAGTTCAAATGTGCTGCTGTTCTATCTATTGAGGTTGGCCTTTCCAACTACTGCAACTGAAGAGCATTCATGTCAACGCAGGCATAGGCTTTATTTTGTCACGTTACGGTATGTCCTCGAAAATAATCTGCTTTGATTAATACTCTCATCAGAGGAGCAGTTAGGATGAGTCTATACAATTGTTAAATTTCCCTATAAGAAAGGCTGTATCTGTTTTAAGATGATTTCATTACTGTGATATGACAGCAAATAAATCGATTTGAAAAATGTTCGTTCATAAATGTAAGCTGTGGCTACATTAATGTATTATCTCCATATAAATAAGGCCTCAGTTACACTGTGTGTCACCTTTTGTCTGGGCAGCGTTTTCTCCTTTCTAATAAAGAAGAGGAGAAATTAATTTTTGACTGAATTTTTAATTTCTGCGTTTCTGTCAAATGCAGCAACAGAATTTTACAAACAGTGATTTAAAATTATATTTTCCTCTGACCTATATATGTAAGAATTCTCAGCAGAACTGAAATTCTTGGACAAGCTCAAGTTTGTATCAGGGAAAATATAGAAAAACTCACTTTTTTTTTTTTCTCCATTTCCTGACCCAAGAACTGGCAAAACAAGTATCTTCTACGAATGTTTAATTCTGAATACTAAATATTCTATAGTGACTTTCTCATTTCACTATATAAAAGGGCAACCAGCTCATCAAGAAATAAAGATTGCCACATTTCAAGTGTTTCCACAACATATTTTCCATGCGATAAGTTTGACTCATTTTTAGAGTATTAATAAAAACAGAACCAGAGAGACTAGCATGGGGTTTTTGTACTTAAGTGAGCATTGCTATGCACTCACTACAGATGAATATGGTGTACCTGAAATTTGTTTCTTGACATCTGGGTTTTATTCCTGAGTCTGCCACAAAATTTGTGCATGGGCAGAAGCAAATAATTCAAGTTGTCTATGCCTCAATTACCCCATCCATTAAATAGCCTTAAACCCTACTCTACTGCTCAGCACATAGTGAGATTAGATACACTTTTATTTAAAGATAAATTGATAAACCAGCAACAAGTACTGTAGAAAAAGCTGAAACACTGAGATTTGATTTTGCTCCCCAACAGTTTAAATTTGTACCTAAAGTGAGGAAATCTATCTCCTCCACAACTATCCCTTCCCCTACCAATCCATTCCGTAACCCCTTTCCATCACAGGGCTTGCAACACTGTGTTCCATGTCAAACACACGTTTGGCATTTCAACTACTCACCCTATCACCAGACACCAGGCAGGTACCATTTGTACTCCAGTTTAGGACTGTAATTTTGGCGTTGTGATTTGGCGGTACAGCGTGGTGCTCCTTGTCTTGTTTGTTAAGTATCACAACTTCTCCCGTCTCCCAACCTGCTGCAAGAATTGGTCTGGAAGGGTGCCAGGAAAGTGATGTGACCTGAAAGCTTCTCTCAACATGTGCATCGGACACATGTTCTCCCTGCAAATGGAAATAAAGTGCAAGCTCAGTACAATGGAAACTCAGTACAAGGATGCAGCTAAACCTTCAGACTCGCTTCCCAGTCAACAAGATATTGTTCTCTGGTAGAGGACCAGCTTCCTGCAGGTGATATGAAGTGGCTACAAAAACTATCTTTACAGCTATTTCACGTGCATAAAAATGGGCTACAACATGCCGTACATCCAGTTGCAAGTTGGTAACAAAAACACGGCAGTGTTAAGTGACTGCCTCACTCTGCTTTTCCAGGCTATTCTGCCCTCACAGCATACATGAGCAGCCCTCACGGCATATCAAGTTTTTACTCCTGTATGAAGGATAAGAAGGCTTCGAGCACATTTCAAGGTAAAAACCCCCAACTTTTGAAAAAGAAGCACCTCACTGAGGACACAGAATAAATTCACGCTTAAACAGCTCCTAAAGGCAGACATTCCTTTGTGCATGGTTTGCAATACCATTGCAGGCAAATCATTTAACCTCTCTATGTATTTATTTTTCCATTTGTAAAATTTGGATGACAATTTTGCATAACACTCTTTGGAAAGTATAAGGCTACTCATATTAACAGACTTAAAACTTTCCAGTATGTCTGCTGCTAGATAGCTTGTAGTACCATGTCCCTAAATAGCACACTTTTTTCCTGAAAATTATGCAAACCAAAGTCCTACGCAAGCCTCTTGTGTAAGTTTAGAGTATGCAAAGGAAATATCTGTCTACAGGCAGAAACTGTACTAGGAAACAACCTACTCAAATAGAACAAGACAAGTCTAGCAGATCAGCTCAGTCTCAAGGTGGAGAAATTTTTTTTTTTATTTACGTTTCTTAGTATGTTTTATTCACTTACAGTTTAAAAAAAAAAAAAAAGGCAGCAGCATGTGTCCATTTTACTGATAAGCCTGAAATTCTCATACTATGAAAAGTAAAAAGCAAATCAGTAACCATCACAAACAAGACTTAAAGGCTGTATAAATTAAATTGCAATGGAAAGATGAAATTAATTTATTAAGGCCTTTTATAAAATATAGATATTTA